TTTTTTATTTTGTACAAACAAAATAAATATATTGAAAAATATAAAAACAATAAAAAATTATACTTCAAATGTTAATTTAGTATCAAAAACGTAAAATATTTGAGTAGCCGAAGACATAGCCAAAGATTGAAGTGCCACAGCACTGGCGAAAATTTAAATTTGCCGACTGGAATTCTTTCGGATGATTGACGTTTCGGATGATTGAATTTCGGAAAATCGACGCTCTACTGTAATTTAATGAGAGTAAATTATTGTCTTTTAACATTCAACGCGATTTTCCTAGATTTTCTTATTTTATTTATTAAATAACGCATACAAAACCGTTTACCGTTTACAAGTTCCTTAAACATATTTTCATTTTGCGTCACGCCATAAATTGCCTGTAATTAAATATTATATTAATTACAATCATTAAACTACTCTAAAGTGCAGTTTATACGAAGTAAAATTAACAAGATAAAGTATATTTAATATTAAAGCACCACTATAATGTTTCGAGGGCACTCAATTTGATTGCGATTTAGTGAAACTCTTCACTATCACTTTACTGTTCTATTGTGGTGGGTATCAATATACTAATATGCTACGTTGGAAACTTAAATATAATTATACTTGAGTAACGTCTTTAGCAAGCGTAACATGATAACAGTTACCGTTTGAAATTACAGGAAGCAATTTGTCACATAAAATCTTAAAATTAGATGTATGTCAACACTTAATTTGCAGCATTTTAAAATTTTCCAGTTGAGAAGTTACGTGTCTCAGTTTTTTATACAAAATTAAATAAAATCTTCAAGTTATTCGAAAATAATATTTATGTTACAAAACATAATTCATAATTCAGATTTAAATAAAATTTATTTTTCCGACTTACTTCAGCAACTTCTCTGTAATTAACTAGAGAAACGACGACACTCTTCTCCTCACTTGAAGCATGTGCTTCTGCCATTTCTTTAATTCAAATTTAATAATTTAAATATAACATAAATTTGGCAAATTTCTTCCTTTTACTTAAATCTTATTAAAAGTACGGTGTTCGAGTAAGCAGATAAACTATTTACCTTATATATAACACTTGAATATAACTCTATGCCTATAGATTTTCAGATACAGGATACTTTAGTAGTCGAGTCCTTCTGTATCGATAAACATAAATAAATTATAAATACGATACTATTATTATTGTCTGTATAATATGTATATATCTATATGATAAGTAATTCTTATGTGAAAGATATCTACACAAAAACTTATGTAATAACTCTTGTAAATTGACACTTGAGAGTATATCTGCATACGTAATGCTTATTTATATTTGCAAAACGTTTAAAGAAACTACACTTCGAAAATTACGTTTGGTAAGTGTGCATCATAAAATTAATATTTTGCGTCAAGAACTTCCTGCCTTGTCGAGGCTTCCAGCTTTTACTGAAGCCATATTATTGTTGACATATATGAACCCAATAATAGCCAATTAAGTTGTAATCGTGTAATTACCTACACTTACCACTGACAAAATTCAGCAAGAGAAAGGAAATGATTTGATCTATTACAGTTTTCCTGAAAAATGTGGTCTGTCCAATTATATACGAACTTAAGAGGAACAATACAAATAATTCAATGTGTTCGAGAATTTTGCAGAACACGCAACTCCGAGAGCCTACTCAGCTTAAACACGACATGAAGTTTTACTGACTTGTACTGAAACTTGTAAATTTTTCCTGTATAATCGATATTATATTTGATAGAAACTGCTTGGATCCAACTCATCTCCGACTGTCTGTCTGTCTCTTTCTTTTCCCCGTTTTTATTATATCCTCTGTTTTAAATTTCGAAGGATTGTTTAGTGTTATTTTATTTTTTAAAATTGATAATTAGAATAAATAGAGATAAATAAAAACGTCACTTTAGCGCATTCATAAGCACCCACATTATTAAATTTCACACTTGGTTATATTTACCGAGTTTCGGAATGAAAAGAACGTTGGGATAAAGCCACCTCTCGAATTACTATTATTAAAATCTATTGTGACCGGACTTATGTATGTCTTCAAATTATCATTCTTCTGCCTTAAATACAAGTAAATAAAATGCGAGTTGTCAGATACGAGGAAAAACTTCAGTCCGTCGAGTGTAAAAAAATCTTTTTAGCTGTGTTATCATATTTTATTTCGTATTGATTTTTATTTTTATATACACCATTTAAGTTTCAAATCAATACTTAGAAAAGAACAAAATTTATGTATATAGGGTATATTATATAAACACACAGCATAGCATATAACAATGGCAGAACTACACTAGAAAAATGTAGCGTTTTAATCTCAATTCAGCTTACATAAATTTATTTTTGAACTATTTTTAAATTTTTGAACTCAATTTTTGAACTATAAAAAAACATTTCAATTTTGAAAATAGGGATGGGTTCCGTAAAAATTGTAAATGCTCATAACGAGTAAAGTCATTAAGTCCAGATATCACACGCGACTTTGCTTTATCTCTCCACATTATCGAGCTTTAATCACCAAAATTTAACAGCATAAATCCCCCTAATACGCAAACGTCCGTGCATAATTACAGAAGTTTTCAACAAAAATCAGGAATTATTAAGCTTCATACAGAAGAGTTTTCACACAAACACGAACGTTCATACACGCAGAAAAACAGCCCAAATATTTTTACATTTGTCGACCTTTCCAGGTGTCCTAAGTCCAAAAATATAGAACAATTGATGGGTCATTTTTTGATCGATTGCAGTACTTTCCCTCTGTTATGTATAAAGCCGGATGCACACGTGCGGCGCGGCAAGGAAAAGCGACAGAATGAAGTCACTTTTTCTCGCCGAGAAGTCGATTTTGTGCCGCTTTTCTCGTGTCGCAAAAGTTGGTTGAATTCTATCTTTTGTGGCCACCGCTGCCAAGACGCGTATTTTTCAGCCAATAACAGTTCGTCCGGTAGTCACGTGAAAAAATACAATCACGTGGTGTTATAATGGCGGAAAGTTCGACGCGGAACATCAGAATAAAGAGGAAAGAATAATAAATTTAACACAAATTCTACACAAATAATCATATATTTTTTAATTCAAAGAACAAAACAACCGAATCTTAGTCGAAATAGTATTCCTTATCAAGAGATTTTAATCGAAAAACAAGCTTATTTTGTACAGTAGGCTACATCAGTTCTTTATCGATCCAACAAAATATCTTGCCGAGATTCTTGCCAATATAATATCTCTAATCCAAAATCTTCATTCGAATTTTCGACAAATGCTTTTAGCTAAGTAAAACAAGCCGTACAAAACAAAATTTGTAAACACGTGGGTATCGGCAGTGTCGATATCGTTCGCCATCTTGAATATTGAACGGATGCGCCGAAATGTAAACGGATTGCCGCTTGTGTGGTTGCGCTGCCGCGCGGCGAAGACGCGTTTGCAGCACCGCTTTTCCTTGCCGCGCCACAAGTGTGATTCCTCCTTAACAGAGTCGGAGAAGTACTGCTCGTTGTCCTCGGTGTGATCACAATGAGAGTATCTGTTACATATTTTTTGAGTGCCACATCGCTGAGCAAACTTGGCACTGGGTAGATAAAATTTTTAGTAGGCCTATATGTATCTCCTGGCAAAACGTAAACTTCCTCTCTGATTTCCCTGTTGAAAACCAAAATAATTACTTAATTAATTGTGTTATTGCTTTGACCAAGAGGGTCATTTGAAAAGCGAGATGCGCCCTCATTTTTGAAAATAAGAAAGGGAATGCAATTATTGTAATAAATAAAATTTGTGATGAGGCTAACTTCAATTTAAAAGTTGACCATGAGAACTTTTCTTACAGGGAACACAACGCGCTATACTTTGGCACTGAAAATATTATATAGAAAAATGCTAATAATAAATTTGTATTTAATGATCAGCGGCAATAAAACCACTTCTGATTCGACTGTAATTGTAATCACCTACGCCTTTGTATGTAAAAGTAAAAACTTTTATTGTAACTGTTTACTCATAAAATTATTTCTATATAATTATGTAATCTTTGTATCGACTGTATTTTATAATATCTCGTAATTGTACAGTTTTTATATGAATTTTCTGTAATTATAAGTGCCAATGTTTGTAAAATGTAAAAGCCGAAATATTAATACTGTAAATAGTTTATTTATAACTTACACAAAATCTATACTCAGTATAGAAATATTATTTAACTTTTTAATTTTGTTTTTTATCTGCGCTTGTTCTGTATACTTTTCTCTCATAATACCCACCTTGTATATAATTGTTTATATCTTACTACTGTAAATATTCTCGGCTATTATGGCCATGTCGTAATTTTATTGTCTTCTTATTAATTATTTAATTAATGTATACATCATCAGAAACAATGTACAAGGTTTCCTGCTGCTTAGCATGTTGCTGATTTGTAACAAGTAATAGTTCTGAATAAACTTTAAATTAACCAGTAAAAATTACTGATCTGAGCAGAAAACAAATAAGTATACGCCACAAAATACAGCAGTTAATTATTTTATTCTTAATGTTTTGACTTTTATAGTCATGCTTTAGTGCTTATTCTATAATTACGTCATAAATACTTAAACACACACTTACATTTTATGCTTTTTCGGCAAGTAAAATACGCGTGGATTACTGTAAACTTTTACTGCCAACTTTCCTCATTGTAATATGAGAAATAGCAATTTTAAATAATCGCAGATATTAGAAAGATTTTTAAATGTTTCATTACACAAGTATACAATATTTCATACCAATGCGCAATAAATTCTTTATCTTCGGAAAATTTAACTGATAAGCTTATTAATCATTAATTTCTGATAATCTATTTGTAGGAGAAGGCAGAGCGTAGCAAATATGCACATTTTTGTGAAAATAATTATACGTGGTATAAATTATTGCTGCGATTTAATAATAATGTGATCAGGCTGTGACTTATGACGAGGATTTTAATACACATAATGTCCTTTAGATTGTGATATCATAAATACAGATATTTTATACATTTAGGAATAAACGTTCTACTCTGTATTGTTGACATCCTGAACTTTATTTGAACTTCGGTGAAATTTTGAAACCTGCTTACTACAATCAGCAAAAGTGTAAAAAATTAAAGTTATCGCATTATCGCATTCGTTAGTTCCGATTTTCCCTTATTCTTCGAAATATATACACACACACATATATATATATACATATATATTATAATAATAGATTCACTATAACCGTACAATATTATATAACTTATATTTTGTATTAACATTTCGTACAATTAACCATTATGGAGTATTGAATGTATGTATCGACTCATTCAAGTACTGCGTGACTGCATCGACGTCATCGCTAAATTCAGTGATATCACTTCGCCATATTGAAAGTATCTTCGATTAAAAAATAAATAACAGCAGTTATTCTGTAATCGGTATCGTCGCATAGTGACTAAAAGGTATACCTGTATTAATTACTTTCTTTCTGTCAAGCGGTTGGCCATGTGGTCCTAACCGTAGCAACAGCAGACCTACACTACACCCAGGCATCAAAGAAGGTACTTTTATGCAACTTTTAAAACAGAAGTAAATTTTAATTTTAAAATGTTTCACAGTTAATTGCTGTTATCTCTGGTCAAAGTTCTCTAAGGATATAATCCGATAATAGTAAATAAGCTTTAAGCATAATAAAATGTTAATTTTCTCTATCGGTTTCATATTGATAAAAGTGTTTTCAATCAGTCTTTTCATTGTTCACATTAACGTAAACTTATAAAACTAATTTTTCTAATAAAGTACTGATACTTTTATCAAAATACACCTTACTTTATTATTTCATTTTAACATTGTATTCAGTAACGAAATAGAATTTTGAGATCTTTCTGGAAACATTTTCAGGTATTTCACTAATCCATGAATTCTGTGACATCACTTTACGATAATCAGGTGTCAGTTTTCTGATTTAATGTGGCAAATATAAAATAAAAGTGTAAACACTGTAACGTTATATAATTTGAGTAGTTAGTTAATTGTTTAGCAGGGTTTAGGAGTTGGAAGTTGAAATTTGGTACACAGTTAGGGTACATCATGCGAATAACACATTAACAAACAATTTTTGTACATTTTCGTAAGGAATCTTGTCAACGTTTCTTTTTCTTTTTTCTTAATGTTACCTTTGTCATTCCTTAAAATTGTAAATAGATTCGGAGTTCTTTTCGGAACCATTCTTGACTCGTTGTGGCCCACAATTTCTTTCGCAATGCCTTTCGTATTTCTGTTGTTTGTAAACTTTGTGACGTTACTTGGATCATGTTTGAAGTCGTTGCTGTGCCCATCTCGTGTCTTCTAATCATTCCTGTTATTGTGCCATCAACTGCTTCTTGTGTTCTTTTCCATGGTCGAACAACTCTGACAACACTTTGTCTGTCAGTTGAGGTCTTGTTTGCTCGTACTGGTTTGGTTTTCTCCCTTGACTCGGAAGGCTCTTGGAAGCTTACACCTCTTCTGTCTAGAAGTGTTATTGTTTCGTCCGCCATATTTATTCCTAACCTTAAATCTGTAATTATATCTCTTCCTATTAAGCCATCGAATGGATACGTGATTCGATCATTGACGCTGTAGCATGTGTAGAAAAATCGTAGAGGGCCTATTTTGAATCGGAATTCACTTTTTCCATATGGATGGATTTTGTGTCCGTAAGCTCTGTGAGGTTTTCCTATTTTCTGCGCTAGTGCCCTTTGATGACAGCGTCACTTTCGAGCCTGTGTCTATTGCTAATTTTGTTTTTGCCTCGTTAATTTGACAGTACAATGTAGGCTCCTTATCTTGAGCTTTGTCTTTAAAATAATTTGTTGTTTCTCTGAATCTGGATATTTTGATCTCGTATGACTTTTGTCTGTTTCGCCTAGAGCTTTTTTATTTTCTCGCCAGTTTCTATTGTTCTTCCTTTCATACCGTGTATCTAGGGTGGAGTTTTGTGATGTTCGAGTTCGCCAATTTGTTTGTCAGCCGTTTGTTCTAATCCGTGTTTTATTTCGAAACGTGTTTTTTTTTGAGTTTGCACGCCGCCTACTATGTTTCTTGAGTCATTTTGTTGATCCCTAAATCTGTTTCTAACATTTTGATATCGATTTTCTTGAGTAAATAAAGGATTTCTATATCTAGGTTCGTCTCTCTGACTTTTGTGACTCTTTGATTTGTCCTCCTTCCTACATCTCTCCGCTTTCGTCTACTTAACTATCTTCTCGGGATTAAGGAAGGACAGGGAAACAGACATACAACAGTGGAAATTTATAAATATATAATTATTTCAAATTACAGCCCAATGAAAAAGTTCTGGCTTCGAGTTGAGTAACATTTCGGCTACAGAATTTAAAAATGGTGTGGAGTCATCTGTTATAATACGAGCGAATGAAATGAATAATTCTTACTTCTTTTGACACTAGAATTAAACCCAAATATAATTAGATATGATCTGACTCTGACGCAAAATCAGAAATACCCATTTTAAAATGAGCAGTATTTTGTATAGTATAATTTATAGGAGATAGACACTAAAAATAGAACACTGTAAAAAGAATAAGAAATTGTATAAATTTTAAAATATTGACGAATAAACACATTAATATAAAACAAATTTTTATTACTAATATATAATAAAATTTTAATTAAATCTTTTAATAAAATTTTATAATAAAAATGAAATAGATGACTAACGAATTAGAAATGGAAGTTACATATTTTAGATATTTCCAATAATATTTAACTTATAACTTCAATAAAATTTTGTTTAATGGACAGATAAAGAGTTGAGAATAGCAAGCAAAAAGAACCTTATGTGATTTAATTAACAACCTCACCATCAAAGTGAAAATAATTTCTTCATTATGTATGCAATTAATGTTTATTGTTACAGTTATGGCACGAAAATAATGTAAATATCGAACATTCTTTCTTTTATTCTTTCAAGAAACATTACATACAATTTAAGAGTGTTAGGGGAGAGAAAAACAGAAGAAAGATTCAAGAAGTGTGCGTTTAATAGGCTGACCGCGTGGAGTTTTTTTTCGGTAGCTATCTTCACGACAGTACATTCATAATTGAAATGTATTACATGACACTACTACCAATTAAACTATGCAAATTTAACAAAACTGATGGATAAAAATTACATGAAATTGAGTTGTATAATAAATGAGAGAAGGAAACTGTATTATAGAATTGTAGAGACCTGAGAATAGCAAATTAGAAATATAGAGAAAAATTACCAAAGACACCGAAACAATCAATTTTAACAATAAAAAAATGTAATGATTTAATACGTTATTTGTACAACAATATAACATAAAAATAAAATTAGAAACAAGTAGAAATTGAATAAATATTCGAAACGAAACTAATGAAATACGGGGTTTCGGTAAAAAAAAAAAAACAATGCAATCTTTCGAGATAATTTAAAAACGCAAGTATTCCTCGTACAGTACATCATCACAGTTAGGAAAACTTTTTCGGATATATGAAGCCTATTATCTACAGTATTGGTCTTGCGAGTTAAAACTGTTATACTACGTTCGCACACAATCCAGGAGTCGCTTCGATCTCGATTTACCTACAATCTGGATTGTGACTGTCGCTAGTCGAACGTCGTGCTGTTCGCACAGGCAGTCTGCTTGAGAAGAACCTGGCTATTACACGCGATCATAAAACTGACGTAACTACGCGGTAAGTCACAAACACCAAGAAACAAAATGGAAGTTTTGGTTAGAAATAAATACTTTTTCTTGCCATACATATAATAATAGACAGATGTCATCGTCTCTCCAGATGTCTTTTTTATTTCTCTGTCGATAGCACGACACGTGTTCCGCACCCATCTTGTATTTTCACGCGCGAGTGGGATTGTGGGATCTCTGTTATGACTGGATCTAGTTTCGAGAACTCTCTCCAGTCGATCGTAATTGAACCTCGTTTCAGTCGAGATTGAAACGGCCGAGAGCGTTCGCACCACGGAACACTCGGTGCTCGGTGCGAACGGGGTATTAGTTCTGATGACCGTGGTGTAAATAGCTTTTGACTGTGCGTGACTCTTCTTTTGTTTTAATTTCTTCCACTCCTACTGTAATTCTGCTTTCTTCACAGACCTGGATTGATAAACAAGCATAAATTGTATTTAAAAGTTGATCACATGTTGTAAATTAGTATAAGGACATTGCATAAATCATGCAGCAGACACAACATTATTTAAAAGTTATGTTTGAAAAATTAACAGAAACCTATTATTAAGTTTCATTGCTAAGAACAGAAACATACACCTTTAAACGTTTAACACCTGATACTTGATTTTGATTGCTATTTGCAAAAAGTGTTTGGACAGCATCGGGTCTTAACTTTCTTTTCCCATCCACTCTATTATCTTCAAATTGATCCTTGGTAAAATGGATCTACATTAAATTGATAATAAAATAAGGAATTAAAATACCTTAACTGAAATATTCTTCTTCTCAAAACATTAAAATATCAAACTTTTCATAGATAAAAATTCTCCAGCTTTATGAAGCATCTTTACAGTAAACATGGGCTGACAAATCTTTGATTACAAATTAATCCCTTAGTTCCCGATCAATTTTTAATTAATTATAATTAAACATAAAAATACTTAAAAGTGAAAAAAAACTAAAGAAACCTGTTAATTTTGAAGGAAAATCTTCAAAGTTTAACTTCCTTTGTCTGGCCTTTCTGTGAAATTTATCGATGACTC